ACATCCGCTGTATAAACATGGAAGTCTAGTAATATTCAGAGTGCCCTGAAAATACAGTAAATTTATCCAGTCGTTTTTTCAGCCCTATATTCCCCCGGCTTAATTCCGAGCGAGAAATGTCCACTGCCCTAGTAGCACAAAATATTTGTCCTATATTTTCAATATATTTAACGAATATCCTACATTTTGTAAATATTTACCAGACATTTGAAATATTTGAAAAACGTTTACTTTAGAATATTATCCCTATAATATTTATATAATATTAGCTCCATGTGTTTTCATAATATTTTTCTACCAGATATACAAAACATTTCGTTTCATTTTAATACAAGTATTTTTTAAATATTATCTGCCGAATACATTATAAACGTTTTAAAAATATTTAAAATCAAAATCACACGTTTTGCTCCCATAATGAAATAGCGGAACGAAAATATTAGAAAAATTTCTCGTGTTTTTTGATACCAAATGAAGTGTCCGATAATAGTCGTGAAGTAAAAAATGTATTTTTATTATGTTAATAAGTTAAAAAATATAATTTCTCTATATGTTTATAAATTATTGAAACTAAATATGTCATTGAGATTTTCAACAAATATTTCAGATATCTTTGAATGAAATCTACAAGAAATCTTGAAAAATCTGTCGCTTGAGATATTTAGCAAAGATTACAAAGAAATATATAGAAATTATTCTGTGCTACTAGGGTGTATTTAATTTCCTTGACATTTCTCGGTGCGTATGTTTGCGTTTACTTCAAACCTACGAGTTAACATGCACTGTATTTCACGCCCCCTTTTCAACCCTTCTACCCTCTCAAAGACACGTTTTGTATAACCCAGACGGTGCTTTTTGAACTCTCAAAATTGTCTCGCAAAAAATGAAATTCTAAACAATACAATACAGTACAATACGATACGATACAATACAATACAATACAATACAATACGGCGTTACAGGGTGAGTTTTTGTACTCACTGTTTACAAGCCAAGGGGCTTGTCAAATAGACGAAAGAAAAGTGCGAGCAATTAAGGGCGTTAGTAGATTGTCAAATGCATTTTAATTAGAGTTTAAAGAGGACGAAAAGATACGGGAAATACTACGGGACTATTTTTAATTCACGTTTTGCGAAGACTGTAAGATAAAAAAAGGTTCTAAAATGTTTCTAAATGGCGCAGTTGTTGTTCGCCATTTTTCAACATTTTAAATCCCTTGTCATAAATTCTCTATAAGATATAAAATAAAACAACCGAAATTCTGGAATTCATACGATCAGTTTTCGCGTGGAAAATTTAAACTTTCATACAAGACTTTGAAATGTTAATTAATTACGCGACTTTGCAACAATGGATCATTTTTTCATGCGAATCTATTTGTACGCGAAACAAGTCCGGATGAACTCGAGAATCGGATCCCTGTAAGTAAATATTTCAGGGATGTCCTCATATTTCTCTTTTCCAGTTAAAAGACGTCTTTTAGCCATTTAAAGACAACAAACAAAAGACGTCTTTTAACCCTAAGGGTGAGATATGAACATTCCACGTACTGCACAACCTACTAACTCTCTTAAAAAAATTATTCAGGAATCCCTAAATTCCACCTACGAGTTCACTACACGCAGAAAAATATTTGGTTGGATGAATAAAATGATCGTTGGTTCAACTATAAACTATGGTTATTAAACCAACAACCAAATATTTTATTTACACGATAAAATTCATCAGCAATTAACTTTTGCTTGTTTACAGCAAATATCCCGATAGCTCACACGAAGCATTAAAGTAATTTCATACATTTCGAAACGTTTCATTTATTGTCTGGAATATTTTTTAAAATTAAGCAATGGATTCAACCAATCACGTTATACGAATTTAGTCGAGTGAACTAAAATTCGTGTTTAAGAAACCAGCATTAAACATTATGAAATAGTCTCCAGTCCCTGAAAGGGATGTGATATGCAACTATATTCTGTACAATCATAATTTATAATGTCATTCTTTATTTCGGATTTGCATATAATCTCCTTTCTAAGGACTGCCCTATTTCATAAACACTTTTCCCCAATGCGGTTCTCTCAACTACTCAATTCCATGAAATGAACCAAGTACGGTAAATCGCTCGATTTTCTCCATCAGCCCAAATTCTTTTTTTCTGCGTGTAAAAGACGTCGTTTGTTGCAACAAATCCAGTAAACAACTAAACTTAACGAAGACAAGTTCCTTTGTCAATGCAAATCCCGAACACCCGATACAGGTTTGCGAGTTCCTCGTCTACGGAGCGAGTTTGTTGGATACATAAACTTGTATATGCACATAACGTAGGTATGTATACGTGTATACATATATCGTACATGCTCGAAGGTATTACGTGTAATATAGAAAGTTACAAAAGATAAAAGGATCAAGTACGACGTGCGGAGTGACGCGAGCCTCCTCGAGGAGCTCGACCTCCTCTTCGGGAAGTAAGAACGAAGTCGTCGAGCCCTTTTCCCGAGCTTTGTCTTCGCTTCAGGGTCCTCCGATCATCGGCAAGGATATCCAGGATCCACTTCCGACCCGCTGCCAGAAAATCGTCGATTCCCCCCGTCATCGAGGGGACATCCTCGCGTATCAATATGGACTCCTCGAGATTCCTCTTCTTCCGCGTCCATCTTTGTTCCCTCTGCACTGTTAAAAATATCTGTTCGAAATACAGCAATCATGTAGTCGAAGCTTTTCGAAATATGACATTTCGAAGTCTCGGACAGAATTGCGATAGGAATTTTGGTATACGATTGTATGAGGACACGTATATTAAGGGGATGTGAAAGCGGCATCTGAAGAGTCAATTGTTTATGAAACTTTTCTTCGTTTTGGGTGTGCTGAATCGTTTGAAATATTACAACGTAAATGTGGAGGCTACGAGGAAGGTCCTGACACTCATGAAATTTCATTTCTTGTAATAAATTGCGAAAATATCAATTAATAAATTTTTAAAAAATTGATATTTTATCAGTGTCAAGACCTTCCTTATTGCCTCCATATTCACATTGTCAAGTTTGAGAGGAGTCCGTACACCCAGTTCGGAGAAAAGTTTCATAAACGAGAGCTCTTTGACGCCACTTTCACATCACCTCAACCTTTTCAGCGCTAAGTCCACTTGACATATGGGCGAATTTCATCAGGGCGTACAAGCAATATTGGACCAAACATCGGAAGCACTTATGGGTCCATAGTGCTGAAAGGGTTTATGAAACTTTTCTTCGAACTGGGTGTGCCGAATCGTTACAAACATTACAACGTGAATGTCGAGGCTATAAGGAAGGTGCTGACACTCATGAAATTTTATTTTTTATAACAAATTGTGAAAATATCTGTTAGCAAATTTTTAAAAAATTGATATTTCATCGGTGTCAGGACCTTCCTTCAGTACTGTTACGTTTGCGAAATCTCATGCGTCTTGGCGAAGACTCGGAAGCGCGACTTCCTATCTATACGTATATCAGCAGATTCGAGTTTCTGTTCTTCTGTTGCATTTTATGGGGAGATATTAGCTCCCATCATGATTTCTTCCAAATCTAGCAACATCGCGACCCCCCCGGGACTACGAAATTTGGAAGACTTATGCTCGGTTTCGCTAACCTCGGTCAAACGGCTAATCCCCGGTTACGAGTTACACGTTGCACCACATTTTAACGGCAGGTTAATTCCCATTAGCCGCGGTTTAGATTAACCAGCTAAATTCTGCAGTTAGCTTCAGTCATTCGAACCTTAACCTAAAAACTGCACAAACGCGAGGAAACCATGGATTATATTGATGCATTAACATCTTATGACGAGACGGATGGAGATGTTTTTTATTTTATTTATAATTTCTTAACGATCGAAGTACGCATGAATATATTTTATATTCTTAACCAAAGAACTTTACCTCTTGAAGCAAGCATTTATCAAATTAATTTTTGCACGAAGTTAGGGGGATTTCATGTCTCGACAAGGACGCATCCATGAAGTAGGATAAGGAGACATAATCCCTATGATTAGTTCCACAGAAAGTAGCCTCCGAATCGGGAGCCATGATTTCCTATTTTTTCTGATATAACGATGCGAGCGCCACTTGCGGAAAACGAGGGAACTCCACTCCTACATGACTATAAAATTTCCTATCGGCGTAAGTCACCTAAAATGCTTTTAATATTGCAATTAAAATACGCAAAGTGAAACGATAATCCGCGTATGACATACAGACTGATGATTTTACCACGATAAATACTATCAGACTCGCTAGCAGACGATAATTGTTAATTGCAAAATTTCATCAAGGAGGCGCTCTCGGCACATTAGAAAAATCGGGACACCTTGGACCCCTAAAATGAAGACGATTTCAATACATGGCGTTAAATCTCCTTATATATACCACTTACCTTATATGTGCCCATAATTATGAAAGTGGTCTAAGTCATATATTTTTTGTTTCGAAATTACATTGAATTAATTTCGTTTGAAATAATATGGCGTGAAATAACTGATAAACTCATTTTTTTTTTAATTTTGACTTAGACCACTTTCATAATTATGGGCACATATATACTATACTATTATATATACTTCGTGGGAGCATCTATCCTTCTTTCTAGTCGATCATAGCATCAGCGAATCACGCGAACGCGTTAACCGACAATGCAACTTGCCATAAATAGTGTACACAATTAATTAATCCCGATATAAATAAACGTGGGGAACATTTGTTTTTAACCCACGATTAGCTTAGATACTAACTTTAACCTGCGGTTAGGTAATCCATGATTTAACCGAGGTTGGTGGAACCGGGCATTACAGGACTTCCATTCTCGACTGGAAATGATTTTTAAAATTTATTAATTATGAAATTATTTACCCTCGGCGACAGTCACGACCCCTGATTATCTGTCTGCGAACGTAACAGTACCTAAAATAGTTGTACTAGAAAGGAGTCGAAATATCTTGAAATCTTTAAGGGGGTAGCTTGCCCTGGGTTTTTAGGCTTCCTCGGAATGGTGGGAGCTCTGCGAGCTGCGCTTCTTTTTATGGTTCCCGTGGTGGTTGTGATGATGCTGGTGATGGTGGTGCGAGTGATGGTGGTCCGAATGCATCAGCGAATCCGTTTCCGGTTGGTTTTGGTGGCCCACCAGGAGGTCAAGGGTGCCTCCACTTACGGGGACTTGTTCCGGCATCGATGGTGGCAATGGCGTAGCCACGGGGGACTCGGCTGGCAACGGGACGCAATGCAGGACGTAACACCGCACCCCCGCCAGGATTATTCCTATGGAAAATTAAATTCCCATTCATTTGTGAGGAATTGCCCCGTTAAAAATATCTATATGGCACCAAGTATGTGAGAATAAATTAATAAGGTGAGTTATTTTAATGATCCTTATAGTGAAGGGATAGTTAACTATCCATCTTGACGAGTGTTTAAATCAAAGCTCCAAGTATGTGAGGATAAATTAATCAGGGGATTTATTTTAATGATCCTTATATTGAAGGGATAGTTAACTATCCACCTTGACGAGTGTTTAAATTAAAGCTCCAAGTATGTGAGAATAAATTAATATGGGGATTTATTTTAATGAACATTATATTGAAGGTATAGTTAATCCACCTTGACGAGTGTTTAAATTAAAGCTCCAAGTATGTGGGAATAAATTAATCGCGGGATTTATTTTAATTATCCCTATATTGAAGGGATAGTGAACTATCCATCTTGACGAGTGTTTAATTAAAGCTCCAAATATGTGACAATAAATTAATCGGGGGAAAATATTTTAATGATCCTTATATTGAAGGGATAGTTAACTATCCATCTTGACAAGTGTTTAAATTAAAGCTCCAAGTATGTGAGAATAAATTAATCTGGGGATTTATTTTAATAATCCTTATATTGAAGGGATAGTTAACTATCCATCTTGACGAGCGTTTAAATCAAACCTCCAAATATGTGAGAATAAATTAATCGGGGGGATTTATTTTAATGATCCTTATAGCGAAGTTAACTATAAGAAAATATAAGAATTGTCCCACGTTTATTCGTAATCATTTATTAACGCAATCTCAGAGAGACTCGAAAATGAACGTAATGTCGAATCCTTGCTTAATAGTAAAAAGAAAAACGAAATACGAATTCCAGACATAACGAAGTCAATAGAGAACACAAAAAGACCAATACGGTCGTCTGGGCAAATAGCTCTTTTTATTCGGAAATTGTTACAGAGAAATGTTGCTCGAGGCAGCTGCCTGAAGCAGGAGCGAGTTTCTCGTTCCAAGGACTAGAAATTCCTTTGGAAATAGTTACTCGAAGGTACCGAGACTGCACGTACGTGCAATTTCCCGTGAATATGAGAGCAAGCGAGACGTATCTGGCGGATTCCAATTCGCAAGCTCTTTTCAGGTAGTCCACCCTGTTAAAATATCTGCAAAATTCGTACAACTGAAGTATACAAAGTTACGCTTAAATTACAAATCCGACATAACGATTTAAATAATCACGCAAAATTTGTAAAACGTATTCGCATTTTCTCATATTTTATTAGAAACTTTTGGAATGAACTTGTAAAATTGACAAGTACGCGTATTAGATACGTCTGTGGGTGTATTATAAATTCGGTACAGCGTATCTGAAAGCTTCCAAAATATGTTTCATGAATTTATTGCAGTTTTTTTGTTTTTAACAGCGTGACCTGAAAAAATGTCTTCCACGATGCAGCTGAATTTATCGACTACACCCTAGTAGCATAGAATAATTTCTAAATATTTCTTTGCAATCTTTGCTAAATATCTCAAGCGATAGATTTTTCAAGATTTCTTGTGGATTTCATTCGAAGATATCTGAAATATTTCTTGAAAATCTCAATGACATATTTAGTTTGAATCNATATAAATATTATAGGGATAATATTCTAAAGTAAACGTTTTGCAAATATTTCAAATGTCCGCTAAATATTTACAAAATGTACGGTATTCGTTAAATATATAGAAAGTATAGGACAAATATTTTGTGCTACTAGGGTCAGTGGCAGAAATCTTCCGAAGGAGGCTCGCACAGATTTTTGAACATTTTTATTAATGCATTTGAACTTGGCTAAGGATTTGTTTTTATTCAATGTTAATTATATCCTTATTTCACTCACCAAGGAGCAACAAAGTCGTGCCACCTGCCAGCAGGGCTAACCTGTGGTCAGTGGTCGTTGCTCCAGGTGCCAGCTGGACCAATCCAACCACAAGGACCACGGCTCCCAGCAAGAGACACACGACTGCAGCATGTAGGCATGAAATCTGCAAATACGATCAAAGTATCTTACATTTTGCTTTCTTTTATCGCTACCTATAGTAAAATCGCTATTTATAGTACAATCACTGCTTATAGTAAGATCAAATGAACCACGGCTCCCAGCAAGAGACACACGACTGCAGTATGTAGGCATGAAATCTGCAAATACGATCAAAGTATCTTATATTTTGCTCTCTTTTATCGCTATCTATAGTACAATCGCTAACTACGATGTAGTACAATCACTGCCTATAGTAAGATCAAATGAACCACGGCTCCCAACAAGAGACACACGACTGCTGCATGCAGGCATGAAACCTGCAAATACGATTAAAGTATCTTACATTTTGCTTTCTTTTATCGCTATCTATAGTACAATCACTGCCTATAGTAAGATCAAATGAACCACGGCCCCCCAGCAAGGGACACACGACTGGAGCATGTAGGCATGAAATCTGCAAATAGATCAATGTGTCTTACATTTGCCCTTTTTTAACAAATAATCGCTATCGTTTTTCGCGAGACCCCCGGCGATCGCAATGGCGGACGTTTTGCCGCCATCGCGATCGCCGGGAGAATCCCAAAGAGTTAAGTAAAATATTGTTCGTAAGATATTTCTAACTTGTGGGTCTTCCTGCAAATGTGAGAAGGGATGGCCACCTTGGAGGGTGTTTCTAATCGGATCACATCTCGAAGCGTTTCCACGTCGATGGAAAGGCGGTTTGGGTAGGTAGGTGGTCGAAGAAGAAAGTTTACCTTGCCGCAGAGGTAGAGCTCCGGAAGTGGATCGAGGTGGCTGTTGTGGCCGTGAGGACTCGGAGTTGGAGGTGAGCCTTGAGGAGGAGGCATCCATTGGCCCCCCAAATACAGCTGGCTGGGTCTCTTCAACCTCTTCTCCTGTCTTCTGCGTTCGTGGCGAACCGCCACGGCTGGCATGGCCCCGATCATCCTGCGAAGATCATCCAATTCCGTCAAAACCGATAATCGATCAGCCCTCGAGCAGTGGCTAGGTAACGACGTTCCCGATCCCTCGGGACTAATATTTGCGTTCGCAACTCTTTGACGATGTCACCCGAAGGTGCTCCAAACTCGGCAGAGATCGACCCAGGCGTACTAGCTGCCAGAATTAACTATCCATCTTGGTGAGTGTTTAAATAAAAGCTCCTAGTATGTGGGAATAAATTAATAGGGGGATTTAATTTAATGATCCTTATATTGACAGGATAGTTAACTATCCACCTTGACGAGTGTTTAAATTAAAGCTCCAAATATGTGGGAATAAATTAATAGGGGGATTTAGTTTAATGATCCTTATATTGAAGGGATAGTTAACTATCCATCTTGACGAGTGTTTAAATTAAAGCTCCAAGTATGTGGGAATAAATTAATAGGGAGATTTATTTTTATGACCCTTATAGCGAAGGGATAGTGAACTATCCATCTTAACGGGTGTTTGAATTAAAGCTCCACATATGTGGGAATAAATTAATAGGGGAATTTATATTTATGGTCCTTATACTGAAGGGATAGTGAACTATCCATCTTGACGGGTGTTTGAATTAAAGCTCCAAATATGTGGGAATAAATTAATCGGGGGATTTATTTTAATGTTCATTATATTGAAGGTATAGTTAACTATCCACCTTGACGAGTGTTTAAATTAAAGCTCCAAATATGTGGGAATAAATTAATAGGGGGATTTATTTGAATGATCCTTATATTGAAGGGATAGTTAACTATCCATCTTGACGAGTGTTTAAATTAAAGCTCCAAGTATGTGGGAATAAATTAATAGGGAGATTTATTTTTATGACCCTTATAGCGAAGGGATAGTGAACTATCCATCTTAACGGGTGTTTGAATTAAAGCTCCACATATGTGGGAATAAATTAATAGAGGAATTTATATTTATGGTCCTTATACTGAAGGGATAGTGAACTATCTATCTTGACGGGTGTTTGAATTAAAGCTCCAAATATGTGGGAATAAATTAATCGGGGGATTTATTTTAATGATCCTTATAGTGAAGGGATAGTTAACTATCCATCTTCATGAGTGTTCAAATTAAAGCTCCTAATATGTGGGAATAAATTAATCGGGGAATTTATTTTAATATGAGTCAGTCGTAACTATCTGTTTGAATTGAAACATCTTCATGAAACAATAATATTCGGCGTGAAAATTAATAAAGAATTAATTATGAAAGATAGTGATATAAAATTGTCGTGATTCCTCAAGAAGACAAATACCTCACGGCATAACAGTATATATGACACATTCATATAACCTTAAGATGGCCCACCACCGCCAAAAAGCATCCCCCGGTGGTTATAGTATTAAACGAGAGAATTCTGTTAAGAATTTCCTCTCGGTTTATCTCGCTCATGTTCCCAAAGTGTTAACATTTAAATTGAGGACAACGTTTATGTTATGACCCCTTTCGACATATCACTGGTGATTACATCTTCATCACCCGTGGTACTTTTCGGCATGAAGAGCTCGTCTAGTGAAAACATGCCGCAGCAAGAAAATTTCTAGAACGGAGTAGACAAGGCAGGAACGAAATCCCTTCGAGCTTGCGACATGATAACATTTGACATATCTTTATCATCGACCCAGAGGAAGATATCATTCCGAGATGCTCTGACCCAGAACAAGGGCAACGATCGCCGGGTTTCGTTGGGGCTCCGTATTTCACGGAAACCTTCCATATTGCCAAATACAAGGTCTATGTGAGTTGGAAAAAGGACCATCAAAGGAATCCTCCACCCTCGCTCCGTTCCAACGAACCTCCACCTTCGCCATTTTCGCATATCAGGTCGAAACGTTATCCTGCAACCCCAGGAACATTTCAAGTATCATGTCATGACACCTTTCAGCATATCACTGCTGATTACATCTTCAGGGCCCCTGGTACTTTTCGACATGAAGAGTTCGTCTAGTGAATACATGTCACAGCTAGAAAATTTCTAGAACGGAGTAGACAAAGCAGAAACGGAAGCCCTTCGGGGTTGCGCCATGATAACATATGGCATATTTTTAACACCGATATGAGTTGAGTACTTCATCGACTCGAGTTATTCGAATTCTAAAGCATTGTCAACTTGAGTTTAGACTCGAGTCGATAACTCAGTGCTGCGTGTATTCGATACTGCGAGTAGAAGCCATGGCGAGTAAAACGACTCGATTAATGGCGACTCGAGTCAAAGCGATACGAATTGAGTACTTCACCGACTCAAGTTATGGCTCGTACCTATTCGGGATGAAGAGTTCATCTAGTGAAAACATATCAAAGCGAAAAAATGTCTAGAACGGAGTAGACAAGGCAGGAACGAAACCCCTTTGAGCTTGCGCCATGATAACTTCTGGCATATTTTTATCAGCGGTACGAATTGAGTACTTCATCGACTCGAGTTATTCGATTTCGAAAGCACTGCAAACACAAGTTTGGACTCGAGTCGATAACTTGATGCCGCGTACATTCGATGCTGCGAGTGGAATCTATGGTAAGTAAAACGACTCAATTAATGGCGACTCGAGTCGAATTGAGTACTTCATCGACTCGAGTTACGGCTCGTACCTTTTCGGCATGAAGAGCTCGTCTAGTGAAAACATGTCACATCGAAAGAATTTTTAGAACGGAGTAGACAAGGCAGGAACGAAACCCCTTCGAGCTTGCGACATGATAACATCAGGCATATTTTTATCACCGACCCAGAGGAAGATATCATTCCGAGATGTTCTGACCCAAAACAAGGACAACGATCGTCGAGTTTCGTTGGGGCTTCTTGTTCCACGGAAACCTTCCATATTGCCAAATACAAGGTCTATGTGAGTTGGAAAAAGGACCATCAAAGGAATCCTCCACCCTCGCTCCGGTCCAACAAACCTTCACCTTCGCCATTTTCGCCTATCAGGTCGAAACGTTATCCTGCAACCCCAGAAACATTTCAAATAACCAGCGTGACCGTCGTTGCAACTTCTGCCATCACGTAACGAGCTTCGCTATCAATTTCAAGCGCAGGGTTGCAATTACGATCACGCGACCGCGTTGATGTCCAGCCAAGTTGAACATTTTTACCTTATATGAACTTCATGAACGCACGCGACGATTTGGAATGTAATATGAGAATATGGAATGGAAGCCGAGATAGATGAAATGACGCAAAATTTGCATCATAAAAGATCATGAAACGAGTCATGAGGGTGTTATTTATAAGTCCTCTTTTGACATTCGTATCTGCAGGACACAATTACAAACCAATAATACTTAAATATGAAACAAAATTAAGTGCATACCCTTAAAAAATCGTACAATACCCTTAAAAAAAAATGTATCATTCAAATCGACCGATGGGGGGGGGGAGTTAAACTTCACCTGAAAGGGTCATTCTATACGTATAAAACGTCAAAATATTTATAAAACTTTTCTCCGAACTAGGTATACCGGATCATTTGGAACTTCAGCACGTGATTATTTAGGCCCTGAAGATGAACTCGATGGTCATGAAATTTCATTTTTCAAAACATATGTATCTGGTTCTAGTCTGGGATAAATAAAAGGAAAATTTTGTCCGAAAAATGAACTTTCATGGGCATCACATCCTTACCAAGGGCCTCCATAATAACGCGTTGAAATTTGCAGATTATTTAGTCGCTGAAGAAGAACGCGATGCTCGTGAAATTTCATTTTTTATAAAAAATGTAAACTTGGTTCTAGTGTAGGCTGAATGGAAAAGAATTTTTTTGGAAAAATGAAGTTTCACGAGCACCGTGTTCTTTCTTAAGGCCTCCATAGTCACGTGTAGAGGTTTCAAATTATTTGGTACACCCAGTTAGGAAAAATGTTTTATTAATATTTTCACGTGATATACNTAAATATATATATTTATCAAAACGTGAAAATATTTATAAAACTTATATAACCACCCTTTCGTATTACCTTATAGACCCTAAGGACTAAAAAGCGTTTTTTAACGTTACAAGTGCAGCATGAGTAAGGACATAACCGACCGAAAGAACAGGAATTAGAGGTTAAACCGAGATCGATAATTCCGGTTCGGACGCGGCGCCATTTCGTGTTCCGCACGCCGAGACTCGAGGAGTTCCGAGGATCGTAAGAGGTTATGATTTAATCGAACGAGGGGAACAACGGGGAGCTTCGAGGTTGTCAAAATTGTGCTCGACGAATGATTTCGAGGCTCGGGCGCGATGCACCCTGGAAGGTTCCTGAACCACGCGAGACACAGTGAACTTTGGTGACCCCGGGTGACCCCGTCGGTCGATACGTCACTATATCCCACTACTCGCGTACTCCGCGCCCTCTCCTGGCAGCTGCCTGAAGCGAGAGCGAGCTTCCCGCTTTCACCCAGGCAACCCATGAAGTGAAATATACGTAAATTAATCGTCTATATTAAGTCTGTAGGTATAGCAAATGTATATCGTCTATCATCCACCTTAAAAAGGATCTAAAGGATATATATAAATATTTATAGCTATTGTAGATGAAAATTATATATCCACTATTGATCTAGGAATATCTACTTATTTCTTGACCCATGCGAAATATATAATCGCTCTAGTAGACATCTACCAAAGGTTAATCGACATCGTTGGATAACGACTCAATTAATGGCGACTCGAGTCGATGCGATACGAGTTGAGTACTTCATCGACTCGAGTTATTCGAATTCTAAAGCATTGCCAACTTGAGTTTGGACTCGAGTCAATAATTCGGTGCTGCGTATATTTGACGTGGCGAGGAGAGTCCATGGTGAGTAAAACGACTCAATAAATGGCGACTCGAGTCGATGCGATACAAGTTGAATACTTCATCGACTCGAATTATTCGAATTCGAAAGCATTGCCAAATCGCGTTTGGACTCGAGTCGATAACTCGGTGCCGCATACATTCGACGCGGGGAGTAAAATCCATGGCGAGTAAAACG